AGTGGAGACAAAGCGGTGGACAAAGGCAAAAGCAGACATAGCCCCTGTCTTGACAGAAACACTCTAATAAGATAGAAAGAGAAAGGAACTTCCTCAATTTGGTGAAGGGCATCTACAGAAAAGCCACAGCTGACATCATACGTAATGGTAAAAGACTGAGAGCTTTCCCCTAAGATCAGAAACAAGACAGATGTCCGCTCTCATCACTTCTATTCAACACTGTGCTGGAGGTTCTAGCCAGGACAATTAGGCAAGAAAAAGTAATCAAAGGCATCCACATTGGAAAAGAAGAAGTAAAACTATTTGCTAATTGCAGATGATATGATCTTATATGTAGAATAACCTAAAGAATCCCCAAAAAACTACTAGAGCTACTAATTTAGGTCAGCAAGGCTGCAGAGTCCAAGATCAATATACAAAAATCACTTGAACTTCTACACATTAGCAAGGAACAATCTAAACATAAAATCAACAAAACAATTTCATTTACAATAACATCAAAAAGAAGAAAATGCTTAGCATAATTTTTTTTTTTTTTTTTTTTGAGACGGAGTCTCTGTCTCCCAGGCTGGAGTGCAGTGGCGCGACCTTGGCTCACTGCAAGCTCCGCCTCCCGGGTTCACGCCATTCTCCTGCCTCAGTCTCCCGAGTAGCTGGGACTACAGGCGCCCACCACCACGCCCAGCTAATTTTTTGCATAGAGACAGGGTTTCACCGTGTTAGCCAGGATGGTCTCGATCTCCTGACCTCGTGATCCACCTGCCTTGGCCTCCCAAAGTGCTGGGATTACAGGCATGAGCCACCACTCCCAGCCAACATAAATTTAACCAAGGAAGTGCAAGACCTGTACGCTGAAAACAATACATTATTGAAGAAATTAAAGAAGACCCAAATTTATGGATTGGGAGCCTTGATATTGTTAAAATGGTAACACTCCCCAAACTAGTCTACAGATTCAGTGCACTCTATCAAAATTCCAAACTACCTTTTTTTTTTTTTTTTTTTCCGGGAATGTGTAAGTTGGCCTTAAAATTCATATGGAAATATGTGGAATCTTGGCTGGGCATGGTGGCTCATGCCTGTAATCCCAGCACTTTGGGAGGCTGAGGGGGGCGGATTGCTTGAGGTCAGGAGTTCGAGACCAGCCTTGCTAACATGGTGAAATCTCGCCTCTACGAAAAATACAAAACATTAGCCAGACGTGGTGACACACGTCTGTAGTCCCAGCTACTCAGGAGGCTGAGGTAGGAGAATCGCTTGAACCCAGGAGGCGGAGGTTGCAGTGAGCCGAGATCGCGCCACTGCACTCAAGTCTGGGCGACAGAGCGAGACTCTGTCTCAAAAAAAGAAAGAAAGGCCGGGCGCGGTGGCTCAAGCCTGTAATCCCAGCACTTTGGGAGGCCGAGACGGGTGGATCACGAGGTCAGGAGATCGAGACCATCCTGGCTGACACGGTGAAACCCCGTCTCTACTAAAAAATACAAAAAACTAGTCGGGCGAGGTGGCGGGCGCCTGTAGTCCCAGCTACTCGGGAGGCTGAGGCGGGAGAATGGCGTGAACCCGGGAGGCGGAGCTTGCAGTGAGCTGAGATCCGGCCACTGCACTCCAGCCTGGGCGGCAGAGCGAGACTCTGTCTCAAAAAAAAAAAAAAAAAAAAAAAAGAAAGAAAAAAAATATGGAGTTCAAATAACAAAATAATCTTGAAAAAGAACAAAGTTTGAGGACTCACACTTCCTGATTTCAAAACTTACAATGACAAGGTTACAGTTACCAAGACAGTGTGGTACTAGCATAAGGACAGACATATAGATAAATGGAACAGACTAGTCCCAAACCAAATCCATACATCTATTGTCAATTGATTTTCAACAAGGGTGCCAAGACCATTCAATGGAGAAAGCATAGTTTTTTCAACAAATGGTGCTGGGACAACTGAATACTCACATGCAAAAGAATAAAGGTGCACTCCTTCCTCGCACCATATAAAAAATTAACTGAAAATGGGTCAAAAACCTAAATGTAAGAGCTAAAACTATAAGATCCTTGGGAGGAACCATAGGTATAAATCTGTATTACTTTGAATTAGGTAAGTTTCTTTTTTCTTTTTTTTTTTTTGAGACAAAGTCTCATTCTGTCACCCAGGCTGGAGTGCGGTGGCACAATCCCGGCTCACTGCAACCTCCACCTTCTAGGCTCAAGCGATCCCCCCACCTCAGCCTGTAGAGTGGCTGGGACCACAGGCACGCACCACTAAACCTGGCTACTTTTTGGATTTTTGGTAGAGACGGGGTCTCACCATGTTGCCTACGCTGGTCTTGAGCTCCTGAGCTCAAGCAATCTGCCCACCTCGGCCTCCCAAAGCTTTGGAATTACAGACGTGAGCCACCGCACTCAGTCATAAAAATAAAAAGGTTGGCCGGGTGTGGTGGCTCACGACTGTAATCCCAGCACTTTCAGAGGCTGAAGCGGGTGGATCACGAGGTCAGGAGATCAAGACCATCCTGGCTACGGTGAAACCCCGTCTCTATTAAAAATACGAAAAATGAGCGAGGCGTGGTGGCGGGCGCCTGTAGTCCCAGCTACTCGGGAGGCTGAGGCAGGAGAATGGCATGAAGCCGGGAGGTGGAGCTCGCGGTGAGCCGAGATTGTACCACTGCACTCCAGCCTGGGCGACAGAGAGAGACTCTGTCTCAAAAAATAAATAAATACACAAAATAAAAAGCGTTCTTTTTCTTTTCTTTTTTTTGAAAAACATTAGTATATGTTTTTCAAAAAGGTACTATCAAGAAAGTGAAAATTTGTACAGATAAAGTTGTTGAGGTTAAAAAAAAAAAGTGAGAAGTCAACCCTTACAACGTGAGACAGTGTTTGCAAATCATATACCTAACAAGTGTCCAAAATCCAGGATATATAAAGAACTTTTGCAATTCACCAGTAAATAGAGAAATAATCCAACTAAAAATGGAAAAAGGATTTGAATAGAATTTCTCCAAAGAAGTTATACAAGTGGCTAAAAATCACATAAAAATATGCTCAAAATAGTCATTTGGGAAATGCAAATCAAAAGCATGACATACTTCACACCCACTAGGGTGGCTCTAATAAAAAAGGCAGATAACAACAAGTGTTGATGATGATGCAGAGAAACTGGAACTCTCATGCATTGCTGGTGAAAATGTAAAATGGTGCGACTGCTGTGGAAAATGGGCTAGTTCTTCAAACGGTTGGACACAGAGTTATGCGGCCCTGCATTTCTACTCCTAGGTATATACACCTGAGAAGTGAAAACAAAGTTAACACAAAGCTTGTATGCAAATGCTCATAGCGGCATTATTCATGGCAGCCAAAAGGTGGAACAACCCAATGTCCATCATCTGATGAATGGATAAAAAAATTGCAACACAAGTCGGGTGCAGTGGCTCACACCTGTAATCCCAGCACTTTGGGAGGGTGAGGTGGGAGGATCCTTTGAGCCCAGGAATATAAAACCAGCCTGGGCAATACAGGGAGATATTGTCTCTACAAAAAATTTAAAAATTAGCTGGGTGTGGTGGTGCCCACCTGTAGTCCCAGCTACTTGGGAGGCTGAGGCATGGGGATTGCTTGAGCCCAGGAGATTGAGGCTGCAGTGAGCAGTGATCACGCCACTGCATTCCAGCTTGGACCACAGAGTGAGCCCCTGTCTCAAAACAAAACAAAATGAAATAAATAAAATAAATTAATAAACCAAAATACAAATTTAAGAAGTGTTATATCCATACAATGGAATATTATTAAGCCATAAGAAGGAATGAAGTATCACCTGGTACAACACGGATGGCCCTTGAAAACATTATGCTAGGCGAAGGATACCAGTCACAAAGGATCACCTATTGTATGATTCCACTTATACAAAATGTCCAGAGTAGGCAAATCCAGAAAGATAGAAAGTGGATTAGTGGTTGCCAGTGGCTAGTGGCAAGGGGGAGTGGGGGTGACTGCTAATGGGTTTGGGGGTCTCTTTTTAAGGTGATTAAAATATTCAGGAATCAGAGAGTGGTGATGGCTGCACAGCTTTATGAATACACTGAAAGCCACTGAATTGTACACTTTAAAATGGCACAATTTTATGGTATGTGAATTATATCTCAATAAAATTTAAAAAAAAGAAAAAACCAGAAGCAGATCTTGGCCTCACAGAGCTTAGATTCAGTATATGTGTGCATGTGTATGTGTGCATGTGCATGCGTGTGTGCGCGCGTTTGTGCATGAGTGTGTGCACGCACACCTGTGCAGCGCAAAATCTCTGTTGTGCTTACTGCTCTGAAGGAAGGGCGCCAAGGACAAGAGCTATGATGAGAGTGGTCAAGGAAGACTTCCGCGAGGAAGTGACCTGAAGGAAGAGATAATAGGATAAGGAGGAAAGGGAGGGACAATCAGGCAGAGGTGAGCCTGTGCAAAGGTCCTGTGGAGGGAGGGAGGTGGGCATAATAGGAGGGGCTGGAAAGGATCCAGGTGGCTAGAGTTGGGGGAATGAGAGGGAGCGACACCAAAGGGAAGGGCTGGAGGGACCGTTGTGCCCTGTGGCCTGAACAGAGAAAGCAGCCTGGGGCTGGGGAGGGGACACTAAGCCCTCCAGGTGCCCCCTAGGGTCAAACATCATGCTAGGGACGTTAAACACCTATGGTGGGGAGTCAGGGAACCTGTCAGCATCTGGAGGGAGCCGGGAGGTCATTTGCCCTGGCTGAGGCCACTCTTCATGTAACCTCGTGGGAGGAGAAAAAAAAAATCCAATTCCCTGACTTATTTAGTGGCAGCTCCTTGTACTGATTCTCCCAGGAAGGAAATTCTGATGAAAGCCAGTCTCACTGCTATGGCAACAGCAACCACTTCTGACTTCTCCTTCCGACTAAAAGCCAGGTGGGGAAGTCTGCCTAGCAACAGCAGTGGGTGTCAGGAGTCCCTCGGGCAAAGTTGCAGAGCAGTCCCCTGCCAACCCAGGGCTTCAGGATCCCCCTTACCTACTTTCTGTCCCAGTCTTGGCTCGGATCCCAGCTTCCCACTTCTCTTTCCAGTGGAGAATCACAGCAGCCACCAACATCTGGACAGCGCTTCACCGCTCAGATTGTGATTTATGCTGCCCGTGATGTGGGACTGTTATCCCCATCCGACCACCCGGGACGCTGAGGCTCAGACAGGTGGAGGGGGTCTGCCAGGCTGGTGTCCTTCCCTGGTGCCGCACTACTCATCCCTATGCTGAGGCTCTGCTTATCGGCACGGGCCTCCTGCTCTGATTCCTGCAGCATGAAGGAATAAATGACACCTCCTCCACCCCTCCCCTCAGTCCCTTTCCTGGTAATCCATCGTATATGAGGGATGGGGGTGTCTGGCCCAACTGAAGGCCCTGGGAGGGATTGCCTGGGGCCTGTTAGTGCTGGAGCAGTAAGAAGGAATCATGGCGGAGGCCATGAGTGGTGCCTCTCTGACAGGTTACCCCCAGTGACTGGGCTAGAAGGGTTTCCCTTCAGAATACCTGGCTCTGACCTTTAATACAAGCATTAATAACAATGGCTAAGATGTGCACATGGATCCTGGGCCAGCACTTTTTGTGCCCCATGTCATTCAGCTCTCACAACTACAAATGAGGGATGGGCCACCGTCCCCTCGTTCTATGAAGGGGACACGATCTCAGAGCTGGAGATGGGGCGCAGCTGCAGTAAACCCAGGTGGTCTGGTCCCAGAGCCTGAGCTCTTAAGCAGATACCTGCAGGCCCCACTGCAGCTTTGGGAGGAGACTTTCTCCCCCTCTATCTCGCAGGCAGGCTGGGAAGATTAAAGGGGAGGGCAGAGGAGCACGGGGGAATGGAATGGAACAATTATTTCCTGGCCCTGGGCCAGAGGCGGCTGGTTGGACCTGCTGGAGGAAGCGGTTGCTGTCTGCACGTGGGAGCAGGAGTGGAGGGAGGCGGCAAGGAAGGCCTGGTTCTCACGGCCTAGTCTGAATGTGCATATGCCAAGCGCTGCTCTTCACAAGTGGCATTTCCTTTCATCCCCAGAATGATACTGCGAGGGAATCACAGCTAATGCTTACCCTATGTCAAGCGTCTCTCCAAGCTTAGAACGCTTTGATTCATTTAATCTTCAAAGAAACACACCAGGTAGAGCCTAAGGTCAAGCCCACTTTGCATATGAAAGCACTGAAGCACACCAAAAAGTAACTTGCCCAAGGTCACCGGCAGATTAAGATTTGGACCAGGTCCCCTGGCTCATGCCCATGAGTTTAACAGACTGGCTGCCCTGCTAGGAGAGCTGGAGGACTTTTCTTTCAGAGGAGGGGCGAGGCCATCATCAGTGGGGTTTGATCTCCTGGGAACGCCTGTGGCATTGACTTTTATTTATTTATTGAGATGGCTGGAGTCCAGTGGCACGATCTTGGCTCACTGCAACCTCCACCTCCCGGGTTCAAGTGATTCTCCTCTCAGACTCCCGAGTAGCTGGGATTACAGGTGCCTGCCACCACATCTAGCGAATTTTTGTTTTCTCTCTCTTTTTTTTCTTTTTTTTGAGATGGAGTCTATCTGTGTTGCCCAGGCTGGAGTGCAATGGTGCAATCTTGACTCACTGCAACCTCTGCCTCCTGGGTTCAAGCAATTCTCCCGCCTCAGCCTCCTGAGTAGCTGGGACTACAGGCGCGTGCCACCACGCCTGGGTAATTTTTGTATTTTTAGTAGAGACAGGGTTTTACCATGCTGACAGGCTGGTCTCGAACTCCTGGCCTCAAGTGATCCGCCCACTTCGGCCTCCCAGAGTTCTGGGATTACAGGCATGAGCCACTTCACTGTGGCACTGACTTTTTTTTTTTTTTTAGAGACAGGGTCTTTGTTGCGCAGGTTGGAGTGTGGCAGCACAGTCACAGCTTACTGCAGCCTCCAACTTCTGGACTCAAGTGATCCTCTCGCCTCAGCCTCCCAAGTAGCTAGGGCTACAAGTGTGTGCCAACATGCCCAGCTAATTTTTGTATTTTTTGTAGAGATGGGGGTCTCACTATGTTGCCCAAACTGGTCTCAAACTCCTGGCCTCAACAGACCCTCCTGCCCTTGGCCTCCCAAAATGCTGAAATTACAGGTGTGAGCCACCATGTAATCTTGCATTATGATTTATTCAGTGGCACCTCCTAGACTGATGGGCACCCTCGCCACTGCTCCCCACCAACCCCCACCCGGAAACATCGAGACCACGGGGAAAGGCTCTGGCAGCAGACTCTTGCCCAGAACTGGGCAGAGAGTAGCTGACTGCTTCCACCCACTGGGGGATCTTATTCTTGTTCTGGGTATTTTTGTCTGGAATTACACCCCCAGTCTCCATCCCTCCCAGAAGTGGCATCAGCCCGCTTCCTGGAACAGCACACGAAGGGCCTCAATGCCAGGCTCCCTGTCTTCTCCTGGGGCAGTGAGGAAAGGAGACAGGAGTTGGACCTAACAGGCTCCACTGTGTCTCTGGGGTTCTGTGTACCCATCTGTATAAACAAAGGGCTGCAGGAATGTTCTCTGGGGGACCCCCTTGGCTCCTGGATTCCAGGATTCTGTGCCTGGGAGGACTCCATTCAGCAAACAATCATGATTTACGCTTCATAGACACACCTGTCCTCTAAGCACCTAATAATGATTCGTATTGGCCATAATTACAGCAGCTACCATTTCCTTCCTTCCTTCCTTCCTAGCAGCTACCATTTCCTTCCTTCCTTCCTTCCTTCCTTCCTTCCTTCCTTCTTTCCTTCCTTCTTTCCTTCCTTCCTTCCCTCCCTCCCTCCCTCCCTCCTTCCTTCCCTCCTTCCCTCCCTCCTTCCTTCCTTCCTTCCTGATGGAGTCTTGCTCTGTCACCCAGGCTAGAGTGCAGTGGCACAATCTTGGCTCACTGCAGCCTCCGCCTCCCAGGTTCAAGCAATTCTCCTGCCTCAGTCTCCCGGGTAGCTGGGACTACAGGTGCACACTGTCCACCAAGCCCAGCTAATTTTTGTATTTTTAGTACAGATGAGGTTTCACCATGCTGGCCAAGATGGTCTCGATCTCCTGACCTCGTGATCCTCCCGCCTCAGCCTTCCAAAATGCTGGGATTACTGGCGTGAGCCACTGCACCTGGCCGCAGCTACCATTTTCGAAGCCTTAACTAAGTGCTAGGTGCTGTGCTGAGTGCAGTTCATGGATTCTCTCACTGAATTTGCTGGGTGGCTCTAAGAGGCAGGTACACTCATCTCTGCTTTACTGATGAAGAAACTTGAAACTGAGCTCAGAGAGGCTGGGCAACTTGCCTCCGTTCACACTTTTAGGAAGTAACAGATGCAGGATTTCCACCCCCTCAGCTTCCTCTTCTGCAAAATGGGAGGAAATTGTACCATCACCTCTTGCTGCTGGGAGAGTGAGAGTTGATCAGGTGCATCAAGCATTTGGCCATAGCAGGCCTTGATAAACTGTGCCCCTGTACCCTCCTTCCCGTGTCCCCACTTCCTGTCCTATTTGTCCCTGATACCAACCAGTCCAGCCTGTCATAATCGACAACCACAATGTGATTCCCAGGCTGGGCCCCAGACAGCCTCTCAGTTCGGTGGATGATCCCTGTCTCTGGTGGCCTGTTTTGAGGATGACAGCTAGTGGCAGCCTGGGGATGGCAGTGTGCTCAGATGACTCGTGAGGCTGCTGACCAGCAGACAGGCAGTGACAGGTTGAGCAGCTGGCATCACCCGAGGCTGATGAGACACCCAGGGGAGCCCTGGCCTGCATTCCACCCTCAAGTCCAGACCCTTCTCTAACATTTGGGGGCCTTGTGGACCAGGGCAGGAGCACCAATGCGGGTCGACACCTCACATGCCTAAATATCTAAGTTACAAACCAAACTAACAAACTCCTAAATATACATTCTGTCTTCTAATAGACTTAATGGTCTGCGAGACCAGGCTGTGAATTTCAATTCCTCTGACTTCTTGGAGTTCTGAGCCAGAAGGTAGTAGCATGTTTCAGCACATGGGAGAGCCAGCCCCAGCTAGCATTCCCGTTTCTGGCTGGGGTCTCATACACAGGTCTGGATCCTAGGACACATGTGTAAGCTACGTCCACACCCGCCCCTCCTTCCAAGCAGCTGGCCCTGTCTATGGGTGGAGATACACACACTGGCAGCACAGGCTGTCCTCTGGAGAAACCCCGGCAGGCCCTGACAGGGGGCTTGGGGCTGACTGGATGGGGGACTCTGGGTCCTGAGGATCTGGGGTGGAGCCTAGGGTGGGAGCGCAGGCATAGGTTTCCAGTGAGCATGTCCCCCTGATCTTGTGGACTCCCTGCCCTGGGGCAAGGGGCGTGGCCAGAGGAGGGCCACAGAAGGCCCCCTAATGCCTCTGGCACCGCCCAGGTTCCCTGTAGTGGGGCTGTGGTGTCTGTTGTGAGCAAACTCGTAAATCAACACTGGAGACACATTCCCACAGGAGGGTCTCAGGCCACACAGGTGCCTGGACTCCAGGGGTAGCCCAGGGGTTTGGAGAGCTTGGGATCAGGAAATCCAGGTTCAAGTCCTAGCTCTGCTATGTGCTGGCTGTGACTGTGGCCCAGCAAATTCCCCTCTTGGGTCCCATTTGCTCATCTGTAAAACAGGGATGACAGTTTCTGCCTAGCAGGGTTGTAGGAAGGAGCAAATGAGTGCAGTAAGATCTGTGAAATGTTCGTACCTTGCTTGCACAGGCAACTCCACCCTGGCCACTGCTGCTAAACCCGCTCCAGAACACTCAGATTTTTTTTTTTTTTTTTTTTGAGATGGAGTTTTGCTCTTGTTGCCCAGGCTGGAGTGCAATGGTGCAATCTTGGCTCGCCGCAACCTCTGCCTCCTGGGTTCAAGCAATTCTCATGCCTCAGCCCCCTGAGTAGCTGGGATTACAGATATGTGCCACCACACCCGGCTAATTTTGTATTTTTTTTTTTTAGTAGAGACGGGGTTTCTCCATGTGGGTCAGGCTAGTCTCAAACTCCTGACCTCAGGTGATCTGCCCACCTTGGGCTCCCAACGTGCTGGGATTACAGGTGTGAGGCATCGCACCTGGTAACATTCAGATCTTTTAGATCTTCTTTTCCTGTATAATGCTCACCATCTGTGTCCCGACATGATCACTGATAGCATCTGAGTCCACATGGGCAGGGATATTGCCTCCCATACTACTGTATCCCCAGCACCTCCCTAGTGCAGAATAAGCACACAGTGGCCGGGCGTGGTGGCTTGCGCCTGTAATCCCAGCACTTTGGGAAGCTGAGGCCGGTGGACCACCTGAGGTCAGGAGTTTGAGACCAACCTGGCCAACGCGGCAAAACCCTGTCTCCACTAAAAATATAAAAATTAGGGCCGGGCGCGGTGGCTCAAGCCTGTAATCCCAGCACTTTGGGAGGCCGAGACGGGCGGATCACGAGGTCAGGACAGGAGATCGAGACCATCCTGGCTAACAACGGGTGAAACCCCGTCTCTACTAAAAAATAACAAAAACTAGCCGGGCAGGTGGCGGGCGTCTGTATTCCCAGCTACTCCGGAGGCTGAGGAAGGAGAATGAAGTAAAACCCGGAGCGGAGCTTGCAGTGAGCTGTGAATTCGGCTACTAGCAACTCCAGCTGGGCGACAGAGCCGAGACTCCGTCTCAAAAAAAAAAAAAAAAAAAAAATTAGCCAGGGGTGGGTGGCATGCACCTATCAAATCACAGCTACTTGGGGGCTGAGGGCAGGAGAGTCACTTGAACCTGGGGAGACAAGAGGTTGCAGTTAGCCCAAGATAGTTGCCACTGCCCTCAGCCTGTGACGGAGTGAGGACTCTGACTCCAAAAAAAAAAAAGCATCAGTGAAATATTCTGGACTGCCGGATGAAACTATGAAAACTTGTGATTTGTTTGATTATTCACTGGGCCTTCCAATCTGGCTCCTGGGTTAATTTCAAGATCAACACATTACTGAGTTCTTCTGAAGACCCACACCTCATGTCCACACTCAGTGGACACTTCCAGGCCTCAAGGGAGCTTCCCCAGGTCTTAGGGAAGAGGGATTTGGATGTGAAATACAGGCAGATTACAACAGGCATAGTACTGCTGGTGATGGATGGGCAGGGGGCAAGGTGTCAGGCCAGAGGAAGAAGTCAGGTGGTGAGGATGTGCTGGAGTTTACAGAGATTGCCTCCAAGGAGAAAATGGATGGTTTTTAGCAGTCCTAGAGGATAAAAGAAGGAAGAGCTTTCCACGAGATGGCAGGCCACAGCAAAATGGGCAAAGGCTTCTGAGGGTGTGAAACAAAGCCAGGTTGTTTTAGGGTCAAGTGACTGATTTAGGACACGGAAGTGGTAGGTTAGGGGCGGCAAGCCTAGACAGCTTTCAGTGTCTCTCGGGTTAGGATGGATAATTTATTTGTTGTGGTCCTGACTCCTAGCGGGCATCAG